AATTTTTTAAAAGGAAGAATTATAATGGTGAAAACAGGGAAGAGAAGGAAGAAAGGAAGATTCAGCAAAGAACACACAATTCAATTCATTAACATAGATTTGCACTTTATTGTAATTTTGCATCCTGAGATAATAAAATTTTATATCTGACAAGTGAACGATGACAGAAGCAGCAGCAAAAGTTTCTGAGAGGCAGGTATTCTTAATTTTGGCACAGCCATAAATAGGTTAAGTTCTTGCGGGGGGTTACTCCAGAACTCAAAGGAGAAAAATGAATTCATTCCACAGGCTATGTCACAATATAAGATGCATGGAAGTTCTTGGCTTGAATGGACATAGCCACTTCTATTCTTTTCTAAAAAAGTTGTCCCAATAGGAATCCTCTGCCAAAAAATAGAAATCCTAGATTTTTCAAACAGATGTTTTGATCAATGCCTGCTTTGGCTACCAAGATTTCTTGTTTTTGCAGGTGAGACTCATTTATGTGGTTAGTCCAAGGATGGCAAACTAGCTCACAGATTATATAATTTCAAACATTTATACCTTGTTTCAAAGTCTATTAAAACAATTTTATACTATTTCTATTTTTACTAGAAAAATAGAAAATTAATCCAAGATAAATGCAAAGAAAATATGCAGGAATAAAAGGAACTCTGAGAGAGTATTGCCTTGACTCATCACATTGAGTTTATGAGCAGAACTACTTTGAATCTCAGAAGATGATTTTTACTCTGATGCTAGAACATGACATTATAACACTTTCCACATTTGCAATTCTATGTGTGTGTAGTATACTTCACATACACATCTAAATAAATTAGCTCAGTTATATAATTCTGAAACAAACAAACAAAACTGAAGGCAAGTTCTAACCTGAAGTTATATAGTCCAATCTTGCCAAAAACACAAACACACATAATCTAGCATTTCATTATTTAGGGATGGGGTAAGCAGTCTGTGGAGAGGGTCAAATAATCTTAGTTACTTTATAAAAGTGGATCCCAACATTTCACCATAAGAATCCCTTTATTATTCCTTCCCATGTTTTCAAGTATTTTGTTTACTAAATTGTATGTAATAGGCTTTCTGATTTTTTTATTATTCTGCTGCCATCCACAGCTTTTGATCAGTGTGTCATAACTACTGTTACATAGAATTGAAAAAATATAAGCAAAATGCATGGAAATTCAAATCCTTAGTTGACTTGTGCAGAAAAAATATTATGAGCAAATATATGATCTCTAGTATACTTTTCAAAATATTGAAAAGGGTTCAAAGATGCCTTTACTGCTATCTTCATCTGCCCCACGTTGGGAACCACTGGTTTATATCTACCCGCTTTTCCTCCCTAAATCAAGTATTAGCATAACATAACATAACGTAACGTAACGTAACGTAACGTAACTTAACGTAACACAACTACCCATGTTAACACATAGGGGATTGGTAACAAAATTTACCACTGAAAATCACATTAACTGTAACACTCATTCTGCAGGGTTTAACTGAGAAAGAAAACATAACAGATTTAAAGCAATTTATTTAAAAATACAAAACTATGATGCCCAGTATATCTTCCAGTCAACTTCAAAAATCACATTAATATATGAAAAAAATCTTCAATTCCCCTGTGAGGTAGGACAAGAATATTGTCCCCACTTACACAATGAGGACACAAGGTACAGAGGAATTAAGCAGCAGAGCTAAGAACTGAACCAACCAGAAGTGACTTGGGTTTGAATTTCATACCACTTTCCTTTCCATTTAATATTATCAATTTGTTCCAACTGATCTTTTTGAAGATGTGGAGCTTAATAAGTCACTGAAACAGATAACGGATAGAATATGAAACTTTTTACATTAATGTTAAAGTAGGTCCTCCCATATCTCCATTGTTGTTACAGCTATAATTTTTGTCTGGATATCAACTATGTAGTTAGACTCCGCATAGGCAAACACTACAGACCTGTCCTCAGTTCCTAGAGAAATTACATTAATTCTTATTACCATATAGGGCTGAGGTCTAGCAAGCATAAGGTTCCTTAAGTCTGTGTGATATGAATACATACCAGCTAGGAGCCAGTTGGTGAATCAAACTTACTGCATGCAAGGCACTCTGGGAATACTTACAAAGTGTAGTAGATTTAAGGAAAATCATTCTGATATTCTGTAAGGTAAAAATTTCTTAAGTATTCCTAAAATCAAAGAATATGATTAGGTGATTTCTAATTTTCTGTCTAGCTCTAGGCTAAACCCCATGATTTTACAGATAAAGAGATTGACATGTAATTTAAGTGACTTTTAAGGAGCCCATAAGATTAGATAATTTCCTCATATAGTATGAATCTGAAGTCCACAGAAAAGAAAACATATTCTCAGGTTGCCATCATCAACCTTATTTTTAGACCGCATATTACATAAAAAGGTAATGTTAATAAACCAATTTCTTTTCTGTGGACAATTTTCCTATAGTTCACCATTTAAAGGAACCCAAACAGTTTGACAATTGTTGCAAAATGGATTTTTAAAGTAGAATTTTATAGGCATAGGAGGATCTAATTTCAATAAATTTGAGCATCTTATAATCAAATTAGCAAAAAATATTTCCACTATGTGAAACTGCTCCCATTAAACAGATATAATTTCTATATTTTTCTAGATAAAAATAAATTCTAATGAAATATTATTCAAGCAGTGAGGTTTCTTTTAAAAATATTTTATTTATTGATTGATTTTTAGAGGGAGGGGGTAAGAGAGAGAGAAATATTGATCCCTAGTTCCACCCATCTATGCATTCATTGGTTCATTCTTGTTTGTGCCTTGATCAGGGATTGAACCCACAACCTCAGGAAGTAGTGAGTTATTGAGGTTTGATTTTGTAAGTGGTGGGTTATTTGTAAGCAAAATTAAAATGTTAATTTTTAAAGCTCTCATACATTTGAAAAAAACCCTATTTTTTCAAAGACTTACAAATGTTGTGGAACTTCACTCCAATTATTACAAAACAAGAATAAATTTCATTAAAAATGGTAGAGTACTAAGTATTAATACAGTTCGACTGATCAGACAGTATTAAAGGTCATAATAATATGAATAGTATGTCTATTCAATACTTAAGTGGGTTTTGGTGGGGCTTCAATCCAAGACCATTGTTGTTCCAGAACCATGTTAAATTACACTTGCACTAGCATTAGAATTAAACTAGTTTTGTGAGTGACAGTCTTGTTCTGTAATATTTTGTCACTAATGGATCACATGATTAGGGGAAAAGAAAAAAACAGGCTTTAAACAGATTTAAACAAGTAGAAGAAATATAATGTGTTAGTGAAATATACTTTAATTGAAAAGATAGTTTTAAATCTAATTTCTACCAATTCATCTATTCTGCCTCCTTTCACATAAGATGCTAATTTTGTTCAAAAAAGACAAGGCACTTTCCCATCCACTTCTAACAGTTGACTACAATGGTCTCTTTCCTAAATTAATATGAGGGTTAAAAGGGAACAAAGAATAGTTGAAAAAGGGTTAAAGTTTATTTCATTTTATCTACAATTCAAGTGTTTAAAGGTGTAATGGGGATGGAGCTGCATAAAGGTAAGTTAGAGAGGAACCAGTTTTAACTTGTAACCTTAAAGATGTGTGAGATTTATATACTTTGGCAAATACATGTTATTTTCTCTGGAAATGACCACAGCAAGTTTAATAAAGGATTATTATGTAGCAAAATAATTAAAAATTACTTTCTTCAATTAAAAAACAACTTTCACAAAAATATTTTACTAACTTGATGAAAATATCTGAGTACATTCTATCTTGAGGATAAAAGAAAAAAGACCAGGGGGAGGAATTAATGACCACTAGTATGCTCTGTCATTTCAGCATTCACTGTTGCCAATTTCATTGAAAACAATGCCTCCCCCAAAGCATTCTAAAACCCCAAATGAAAATTAGCCCCAGCCAAATGCAAATAGCTTGAAAAAGCAGTCATATAAGAAAGTAAAAAAGAATACTGGTTATCTTCTGAATAGTTTCAAGAAAATAAAATGAGTCAACCAGCATAATGATCAATAAAGTAACACATTTAAAAGCAATTAGAGTAGGTTTTAAAATTAAGTTTATACAAATGGTTTTTATAACAAATACTATTGTAACTTGAATTATACTTTGTGACTTTCAGATGCACTCTATTTCTGTCTCAATATTTATATCATGGAAACGATTCACTACTTTCTGCTGTTCTTTGAGTAAAACCAAGTGTGATTTATACATGGTAGAAAAAGTTACAATGACCATCACATGGCTAAATGCTAAATTTATATAAAAAATGAGATTTTTATGGATTGACATTTACAAGTAATTATTCTATCAGTGATAATTAGGAATTTTGTATTATTTTTCAAATCAATTTTGGTATTAAACTGTCACAGTTTGAAGCATAAACCTGATGATATTAACCGGAACATAAACCACAGATAAAATGTTTCCCTGACCTTACCTATAAAAAAAGACATTTGGTATGCATTTTCAGAGGTTTCCACCTTGTCTATAAAAATACACCTTCAGTTGTGCAGCATAGAAACATGATATTTGCAGACACACACAACATATGAAAAGTTATATTCTGGGTGGCTGGGTGGCATGGTAATGGGGCTCTACTGAGGGAGGTGAAAAAGTGTTTGGGCAAAAATTATAGTCACATATCAAATAAGGTTTCTTTTTTCCCCTCTTCTATTACTGGTATAAGACTGTGGATGACAAAGTAGGCATAAATTTTACAAGTGGCTTTAAAATGTTTGACCTTGTATGAAGAAATGATTGTTCTCTTCACTGGGATAAATGCTTGCCTAAGAAACTTTACTAAAAGCAATAAAAGGTAATAAATAAAATATTATTTAGTCCCAGATATTTTTATTTTTAGCACTAAGAATTACAAATAATGTGTGTATATATACATATATATATATATATATTCAAATTCTAGAAGAATTAAAGTGTGGTGTTCTCACTTATCTTAATTGTGAGGCGAAATATGCACATACCAATGAAAAGGCTATATATGGGGTGAATTTATAAAGTAAAATATTTTGGTCTAAATACTTGTCTTTCCTTATTTATAATATCCAAATGTTGAAAAAAGATCCTCAAAAATAAGATTAAGAATATTTTATCAGTTATGATTCAGCCACTACATATACTTTAGGTACAGCTTTTCAATTAGCTCTCTCTTTCCCAAAGTAGAATATCAGAACTCCAAAAGGGGGTTAGCAGTGGCATTCATGGGGATCTACCCACCATCTAAGCCATTTGAAATCTTGAAATATTCCTTTATAAGTCATAATTGTCTGTATTTTCAAACAAGGGAAATGAAACATTAAGGTAAATAAATGAGAATACTGAGGCCGTGAAATGTGTCAGATGTCAAATGAATTCTTTTGGGGGTGGAAATGGAGGACAAAACTGGAACTACTAAATTAAATGGAAAAAATCAGGTTCTTGGTTTTAGGTGCAAGGCAGAATATCTCAAATTATTTTAATTTTAATCAACTCATTACAAAGGGCAACCCTGTTCTACAGCTGAAATTTTTAACATACTTATTGTGGCTTTGCCATACAATAGCATGTTAACAGTATGTACATTCCAAAGGATGCTTACAAACTTCAATCATATTAAAATCTATGCAGAATTGTTGGCAATACAGTAAGAGCAATATTAAATTCTGTAAACCATGGCATACCACATTGTACATTATGCAAAGAGACAATATTTACAAGTCGTTAGGAGTTTAAATATTTTATCCACTAACATAAATGATAATTTAGCTAAGTGCAGGACAGAACCAGTGCTATTAATTGCATGTCCTTTACAAGCAGGAAAGAGTAAAACCATTGCTAAAAGCTACCAATAGCTTACTTATGTATGTTTAATATGGGATTACAGAGCATTAAAGTAGCCTAGAAAAATGATGCCTATTTAGAAACAGCAAGTAGGAAAATTATAAGGCAGCATGCTTAGAACAGTTTTTGGTTTTTTTTTTAAAGCGCCAGCACTAATGTTTTATCTTTAATGGCAACTACATATACACATGTATGTGTGTATTTATTTAAAAATGGAGAGTGCAAAACACAAGCCTCATTTAACAACAACAACAAAAAAAGATGTGCAAATTTTCTTCTTAAACCAACACAAAAGAGTGAGGAAAATATTCTACCATTATAAAGAATAAATTGAACACAGCAAAGGAGACCATCTTCATTCCAAAATCATCTACAAGGCACTAAGGGTAGGAAATGACAGGTAACACAGAAGTGACTGAATAAAATTCCTCAGTCAGGTCGGAATATGGGATATTTTGGTAAGAATTCTATTAGTATTACCTGTAAAATAAAAACAAACAAGAATATTTGACATAATAATTTTCATTGACTATATCTTACATATATCCCAGAAACCTTATACTCATTGTTCACAGGACTATATTTTATAAGTGAAATATATAAAACAGTTATAAAAAGAATTTACCACATATTTTTGTTAGATTGAAAATTAAATCAAATTGGCAAATATAATTACTTACTATAGCTAACAGTTTTTATTACCTGATTTAAAATAACTATTTGTTTAGGTGAAGAAAAGTAAACCCTATTACATTATTATGTCCTTCCACATCTCCCCCCCCCCCTTTTTTTTAGCAAAGTGGAAGAAATTAAAGTTGTGCTATACGGATTAGAAAAATACCTTTATCTATATTACATCTATATATTTTTCTATTAAAGCTGCTATTTGCTTGAGTATTACTATCTTTTACAAGTTGTTTGTAAAAAATAATAAAGTATCTAAATGGATTAAAACATTTTAATTAAAGGTTTGAAAATATGATAATGAAAAGATATTTACAAAAATATTTGTAAAGTTACATAAATTTAATATGTAAATTTATAATAGTAGATTTTAGATTTGTGGTCATTTGTACATTTCCCTCAAAAAACTATTCAAAGTGGAGAAAGATACCATAACAATCCTTATTTTGGCAATGGAAATGGAATGTTTATTATGAAATACTAGAGGCCTAGTGCATGAAATTTGTGCACTGGGCAGGGGGAACCCTCAGCCCAGCTCGCACCCTCTCCAATCTGGGACCCCTCAGACATCCCTCTCACAATCCAGGACTGCTGGCTTCCAACTGCTTGCCTGCCTGCCTGCCTGATTGCCCCTAACTGCTTCTGCCTGCCAGCCTGATCACTTACAAATCACACCAGTCTTCCATATGCTGACGCAAGGAAAAGGTACAGAGTTATTTTAATACTAGAGGCCCAGTGCACTAAAGTCATGCAGGGCAGGGGAGTGCGTCCTTCAGCCCCGCCTGCACCCTCTCCAATCCAGGATCCCTCTCGCAATTTGGGACTCCTGGCTCCTAACCGCTTGCCTGCCTGCCTGATCAACCCTAACCACGTCTGCCTGCTGGCCTGATCGCCCCCTAACTACCTCTGCCTGTAGGCCTGACCAACCCCTAACCGCCTCTGCCTGTCCTCCTGGATGGCCCTAACTGCCCTCCCCCGCTGGCCCGATCTCCCCCCAACTGCCATCCCCTGCTGGCCTGGTCTCCTCTAACTGCCCTCCGCTGCAGGCCTGATCACCTGCAACTGCCCTCCCCTGCCGGCCATCTTGTGTCCACATAGGGGCAGCCATCTTGTGCAGGGGCATGATGGTCAATTTGCATATTACCTCTTTATTATATAGGATATACTGCATGTCAGTAACTTGAAACTTGGATAAATTTCATATTCTTTTCAATGTTAATGATGTTATCACATTGGCTATATGTGAATTTATGTTTTATGATTAAGATTGCCTAGGTTTCAGTAAAAAATATAGAAACTACAGTTTCTTTACTAAAAAAAAATGTCAGCTAAGGAAAAAAAAAGGCAGGCAAATGAATCCAGAAATCAGTTCCTATATTAAGCAGGCTTCAACAAGATTACAGCTGCACCCATCACCATATGCAATGGTTTGCACCTATGTTAAAAGATTAAAGTTGTGCAATATTTTCTTCTTTTAAAAAACAATCATTGCTTTTTTTAAAAAAAACTTTAACAATTTAAAAAACTATGCTTTTATTTATTTCACAGAGAGGAAGGAAGAGTGAGAGAGGGATAGAAACATCAATATGAGAGAAAATCATTGATCAGCTGCCTTCTGCATGCCCCCTACTGGGGATGGAGCCCACAACCTGGGCATGTACCCTGACCAGGAATCAAACCATGACTTCCTGGTTTCATGGGTCTATGCTTATCCAATGAGCCACACTGGCCAGGCTTCTTTTATAAAAAATAGTTTATTGATTTTTGGAGAAAGAAGAAGAGAGAAGAGAGGAACACTGATGTGAGAGCATAACATTGATCGGCTGCCTCTTGCTCACCCCCTACCGGGGATCGAGCCCACAACCTGATCATGTGCCCTGACTGGGAATTGAACCAGCAACCTTTTGGTGCATGGGACGATGCCCAACCAACTGACCCACATCAGCCAGGTCAGTGTGCAATATTTTCATCTGAGCACACTAGATGAGATTTTTCTAAGCTCTAAATAACTGCTAGCTTTCAAGATATCTTATGTTGTCTACAAAGCTAAAGAAGGTGGAGAAAACCTCTATGTTTTAACTGATTAAAGTTCAGCCTGAGGAGAAAAAAGGTAGAAAGATGATTTGACAAATGGTAAATGTAGTAAAATGTAACAATTAGGATGGGATCAACAATAGTTTAATTAAAAAACAACTGCATACTTACATACTCCATCATATTGCTAGTTTCACATTTCCTTTTAGTCAACTTCCAGTGTAAAGCAAGCTAAGAAAGTACAGTTTGTTAAGAATTTTGTTATCAATTTATACTAATTATTACCAATACATTTGAATAAATCACTGAAAACAATCCAAGAGTAAGTACAAGATAAAAAAAAATAGCATTTAAAAATACCTGTTAAAGAATATACATTGAAAATTGAGTATTAATTCTCTAATCCATTCTTTTGTGGCCTGAAAAATTCTAATTTTTTTCAATTTAATAATACAAATATATAGACAGGGTACTTATTTGCTTAAATTTCTTACCTTGTGATATAATCTGTTATTTTCCCATTCTAATAACTTCTGAATTGATCTTCTGGTCTAAGAGTAAGAATCAAGACTTTGTTACGAGATGACTTAAGGAACTTTATAAACTATGTGTACCTATATTTTTCTGCTTATTTGTAAGATCCCATTATTTTCTCCTCTTGTTTTTCTATTAGAAATTAGAAAAAAAACCCCACAATGTAATTGACAGAAACTTCCAAAAGAGGAGCGATATTTCAGGTGGTTATTATAATAAGATCGCATTCCCTCCCTCCTTCATATATACACACACATACACACTTGCATATGTGAGATTTTAATATATGCATTTCAAAAGGAAATGTATACAAATTACCCTGTGTTGTGAGTCCATTCACTGAATTATTGTGAAACATTACTAATACTTCTAGAAGTCTATTTATGAATGTAATCTACATTTTCATATATTTTTCCACAAGGTTACTTTTTCAATATACATGCAATATGCCAAGCTAATATGATTTCTCTCAGAAAATTTTCCTATCAGAACTCCTAGCACAATGCTTGGCATTCAGTAGTCAGTCCAGGTCTACAGGTTCAGTAAAGCAAGCCAACATATATCAGAATTTCCACTGAAAAAAAAATCTTAAAAACAGCCAGTGAGAAAACTTGTATTTAGAGCGAAAAATATAGAGAAACAGCCCTGTAGTAAACAGAAGAACAGAGGTTGAATTTCTCCATTTGGAGTGCATATATTTTGTAGGGAGTAAGAAAAGCTTTCAAAACCTTTGAAAACATTAAAATAAAATATTACTAGGCATTTGAATTCTTATTTAAAGAGTTTTATAATGTTTCTGATAAACAAGCTAATAGGTATTGTTACATTTTAAAACTATTTACATATAATTTACATATAAGACTATATTTGAAATGATTTCCAAAGCACTAGCACAAGAAACTATTCTACCTGTTCACCTACGTAAGTTAACAACCAATAGCAATTGTATTCAGCACATTTACAGTGGGCCAAATCAGCAACACTACCAGCTAGAGTTAGCCGTGGGGACCTTGCACTTGAAAGAATCTCTCTAAACAAATTCAGATAGTTAAAGAAAGAGATTGAATTAGTAATTATAAATCTTTCCACAAAGAAAAACCCAGACCCCCCGAAAAGTGAGGGGGTCTCAGCCCAAAACAGGGCTCTTAAACCCAGAACACCAATGCCGGCAAGAAGAGCCCACATAACAAATGGCTGTGAAAATCAGTGGGGATTCCTTCCATTCAGGTGAAACAGAAGGCTGGTGAAAATCCAGGTGTCATCTTAAAAAGACAGCACACAAACACTTGCTTGAAGGGATCCACCCTGGGCTCCTGCAGAGGGATGGCAGCTCGGCAGAGCCCCAGAGTCATACAGAGAGACTAAGTTGTATGATTTTAACATGAGGGCCAGAGGGACAGCTGCCAATGTCCCTGAATTGAATCCTCCTCCTGTGCAACCCACAGGCATCTTTTCCTGGGTTGAGGACTCTCTCCACTGGGTATTAGCCTGGTGAGGTATACTAGCTCTACCCTGGTGACTCTCTAAGGCCCCACCCTACCCAATTCCCACAAGACCCGAGGCACTGTCAGTAGCAACCACTCTGGACCCACATTATAGTATTTCCTAAAAAATGCTTGAGGAATTCCACTGATTCTTGAGGAGGTGACATATACAGGAAGAGCCGTTGTATGGCTTCATGTCTAGAGCCATCTTCCTCCACTGTGAACAGGCATTAACTTTCTTGTGTTGAGCCCTCCCTCCACACAGCCATATCTTAATCTGCATTAGCCTGGTGAACTTTCCTAGCTCCATTCTGAAGGCTCCTTGAAACTGCCCAACCACAAAGTTCCACAGGCCCCAGGTGGGTGACAGCTGGCCTTTGTGTACTCTGAGACTTTTGCCGAGTGGCCTCAAACCCAACACTGGCACCAAGCCTGAAACTGTTTTAACTTGGCAAACACCACTTGCCCCACCCTGGTGACTCACTAAGTACCACCTGATGCTATTTCAGTGGCTGAGATGTATGGGAAACTGGCAGGCAGTAGTGGGTCTTGGGGTGCCTTGGGCCATTTGCTGCAGGCCTGGTACAGGAAGCAGCAGGCCTAGGTTCACAGTTTGGCCCTTCTCACTTCACATGCACCCTGGCTAAGAACAGACAGCTAACAAATGCAGTTGGCTTTATATTTCATAATAGGTAGCCCCAGCTGGTCACAGGAAGTGTCTGATATTGACCTGCACTGGAGTCCCTTCACAGAAGACAACAGAGCTAACAGAACACAACAGAACTAACAGAGCACCATCTGATAAACTCTGTAAGTGCCACTCCTAAAGGGAGCTCTCAGCCAGCACCAGGAACGTGCTGGGGCAAATTATGCAATGTGCGATCAAACCTTGCTCAGCTGCTCATACTCTGTGATCTTGGCAAATCTGCACAGCCAGCCAGCTTTAGAGTCAATAGCAGCCATGGACATGCCAACAGCAATCAAGGCTCATATAAATTATACAAGAAACAGTCCTGGCTCAGGTGGTCAGGGAGATGGCGCCACAAGACACTTAGTATATTAGGCCACTCAACCAAGACTGAGAAATATAGCAGATCTACTTAATACATAGAAACAAACAAAGAGAAGCAGCCAAAATGGGAAAACAAAGAAACATGCCTCAGCTGAAAGAGCTGAAGAAATCTCCAAAAAAAGGGCTAAATGAAATTGAGGCAAGAAATCTACCAGATACAGAGTTCAAAAGAATGGTTAAAAGGATGCTCAAGGAATTGAGCGAGAACTTCACCAAGGAGATAGCAAGGATAAAAAAGGATAAAGAAAACATAAAAAGGAACCAGTCAGAAATGAAGACTAAAATAACTGAAATGAAGAACATACTGGAAGGAATAAATAGATTAGGTGAAGCAGAGAACTAAAGTGGCTACTTGGAAGACCAGGTAGCAGAAAATGTCCATCAGAGCAGCAAAAAAAAATTTTAAAAATGAGGATATTTTAAGGGACATCTGAAACAACATCAAGGGTGGCAACATCTATATCATAAAAGTACCAGAAGGAAAAGAGAGCAAGGGATTGAGAACCTATTTGAAGAAATAATGACTGAAAACTTCCATAACCTGCTAAAGAAAAAAGATACACAAGTTCAGAATATGCTGAGTCCCAAACAAGATGAAACCAAAGAGGGCAACACAAAGAACATACTATATAATAAAAGGCTAATATGTAAATTGTCCCCTTGGGAGTTTGACCACTTGCTATGGTGTGCACTGACCACCAGGGGGCAACACAGAATGAAGGAAGGCCCTGGCCGGCAGCTGGCAGCCAGGAGACGGAAGGCCCCAATTGGACTTGATTGCCAGCCAGGCCTAGGGACCCTATCCAAGCATGAATTTTGTGCACTGGGCCTCTAGTCATAAATAAAATGGCAATAGTTAAAGACAAAGAGAGAATCTTAGAAGCATCAAGAGAGCCTGGGCCAGTATTGCTCAATGATTGAGCATTGACCCATGAACCAGGAGGTCATGGTTTGATTCCCTGTCAGGGCACAGACCCAGGTTTCAGGCTCTATCCCCAGTAGGGGTTGAGGAGGAAGAAGCCAGTCAATGATTCTCTCTCATCATAGATGTTTCTATCCCTCTCTCCCTCTCCCTTCCTCTCTTTGAAATCAATAAAAACATATTGAAAAAAAAAAAAGCACCAAGAAAAAGACAGTTATTTATCTCCAAGAGAGCTCCCGTAAGACTGTCAGTTGATTTCTCAAAAGAAACATTTCAGGGCAGAAGGGATTGGCATGATATATTCAAAATGATGAAAACCAAGGACCTATAACCAAGACAATTCTAACCAAGTGAGCCTATCATTTAGAATTGAAGGAGAAATAAATGGTTTCTAAGGCAAGAAAAAGCTAATGGAGTTCATGATCATCAAACCAATATTATATGAAATGTTAGTGGATCTTCTTTAAGAAAAGAGAGGAACATAGGTTTAAAGAATAAAATGGTAATAAATATGTACCTATCAATAATGACTTTAAATGTACATAGATTAAATGTTCCAATGAAAATTATAAAGTGACAGAATGGATAAGAAAACAAGAACCATATATATGGTGTATACAAAAGACCCACCTGAGAACAAAGCATGCACATAGACTGAAAGTAAAGAGATGGGAAAAAAACATATCTTAAAAATGGAAATTAAAAAAAAAAAAGCTGAGGTAGCAGTACTTATATCCCATGGAATATACTTTAAAAATGCTATAATAAGAGAAAAAGGAGGACATTAGATAATGATAAAGAGTTCAATCCAACAAGATGATTTAACCTTGTAAACATTTTTGCATCCTCTTAAATATAGAAATCAAATCTTGATAGATATAAAGGGATAGATTGACAGCAGTACAGTCATAGTAGGGGATTTTAATACCACATTGACATCAATGGATAATACTTTCAGACAAAATAGTAACAAGGAAACAGCAGCCTTAAATGTCACACTAAATCAGATGGATTTAATTGGGATCTTCAGAGTATTTCACTTCAAAGCAAAAAAAAAAAAAATACGTTCTTCTCAAGTGTACATGGAATAATCTGAAAGATAGACCACATGTCAGGACACGAAATAAGTCTATACAAGTTCAAGAATATTGAAATAATACCAAGAATCTCCTCAGATCATAAGGGCAAAAACAGTAGAAATCAACTACAATAAAAATCTCAAAAACATTCAAACACATGGAGGTTACATAGTATGTTATTAAACAATGAATGGGTTACCAATGATATCAAGCAAGAAATTAAAAACTTCCTT